GCCCCTCGCCTCCCCGGGGCCCCTGTCTCCCCATCTCAGTTCCCCGAGAGCCTCAGATGTGATCCTACGGCTTTTCTATCTTGGAGCCTCTAGCGGCCTAGCCCCACCCAGTGTCAGGGTCCTGGGCCCTCCACTGGGTCAGGATGAGGTTCTAGGGGGTGACCTGGGTGCCACCGAAGGGGGTCTCTGGGTTTATCTGAGCGCCTAGCCCCACTCAGGTTGACAGGGAGGGTCAGTAAACTGGAGCCATGAGGAAGTTATTAGCTAGCCGGCTGTCTGGGCCAGATAGGGTCTGAGGGTTCATGTTGGGAGCAAGTGAGGTGCAGGGCTCAGCTGGTCCCCATTTAGTGGTGGGACTCAGGCTCCAGTGGACTCCAGCTTTGTCTCAGGCATGGGGTGGGGGTGGAGGGTGGGGTTACCCTACAGCCTCCAGGTCCTGCTCTGAGCCTTGAGGGGAAGTTGGCCATGGGGCAGATGCTCCCAGCATGCTCCTGGCGTGCAGGCCCTCTGCTGAGCTCAGAACACGTGCAGGCTTCAAAACCTATGACTCTTCCCGAGAAGGGAAGGGGACCCCAGAGGGGCTGGGGGCTGCTGGGGAGGGCTCCCCATAAGAGGGGGGTCCGCTGACAGTTACTCAGTTCCTCACTTACTCAGCCCTGCCATCTTCAAGCCCCTGTTCTTCCTTGGCACGTCACGGAACCCCATCTGAGCCTCAGTTTCCATACCTGGAAAATGGGCGAATAATAGCACCTCCCCCCTTGGGTGGTCCTCAAGAGGCAATGAGAAATTCCACGTCAAAAAAGGTAAAAGAGTACCTGGCACAGGGCAAGCAGTAAAAGGCTAAATTATTACCATTAATTCAAGTCAGTCAAGATACATTTATGGAGCACTTGCTGTATACCAGATACAGGGCCAAACCCTGAGGATGCAGAGATAAATGAGATTCAGACCCTGCCCTCCAGGACCTCAGAGTGGAGTGGGGGGCGGAGGGGGCAGGTATGAACCCCACATAGGAAGGAACGG